CGCTGGCTGACGTGGAATGAACTGCACCTCCAAGGTGCGGTTTATAAATAAAACGCACCGTCCTGGTGCGGTTTCATAGAAATGGTGCTATTTTTGTAAATTTTATGGACTGGTGCTATTTTTGTAAATTTTTTTTAAAAGGTGCTATTATTGGAAAAATCCCTTCATTCTAGACATAACCTACACCAGCAATAGTGGTTATGCTTTTATCTCAAGTTATTCTAAACATTCGAGTCGTATTCCAATCCACAACCACATCCACTAAACCACAGAAAATGGAAGAAACAAACTCTCTTTGATTATGTGATTCGAATACCTACAATCGAGATACATTCCATCCAATTCAAGTACTAGCTCCAACCAAAACGGAAAGAAAGACAACTACAACCAGCAAAGGAAAAAGAACATGTTTTGGCATTTGCAACTTGCTCATCGAGGCAAAAGAAGCTAGAAGGTGTTGAATTCATTGTTGTTCATCGAAGGAACTTTCGAAGGGAAAAGAGGTGGGATGTCGCGTCAGTGAAGGAGGGGAAGAGGTCGGAGCACAATTGTTGTGCATTTGTTGGAGGAACTGACGATGGGAGAAGACCCTACGGATGTCGCATCGGTGAAGGAAGGAAGGTAGAGTAGCTCCAGCATCTAGCATACACATATTATATGTGTCGCTATAGGGCTATAGCTCTAGTTCAACAGTCTCCTACATCTTTAGGAAAATTAATTTTTTAACCAAATGTGTGGCTTATATGGGTTTCTCGATCCCCTTTGCTTTGAGTTTCACTATGTGACTTTTCTTACCCTGAGATCTACTAGTGAATCGTGTATGACTATGTTTATATTTTTATGCCCTGCAAAATTAATATCTTTGCACTTTTTTTATAAAGAAAGAAACTTTACAAGATGGTTGAATCAACTCTCCTAGACTATTGACTTATCATTTCTTCATTTCCCTTTAGGGATATATAGAAGTTACAAATGCAGTGTAGAGATGTTCCTTATGGACCAAAAACAAACCATGCTTACTAAAAAGAAGGGGAGGAAAATAGTCGAATAGATAAGAAATAGGGGAAAATGGTATTGTCCAACATAGAAAATATGCACGTCTCCCATTACCAACCAACAATCGTATCTCCACCTTCACACTACCTTTGGGAATTTGTCAAGCTCAGAACAGAAAGCCCACATTATACATGAGTTCAGGTCGCCTTCTTTCTGCCTGCCGGACATGGAAGACAGACAGCTTAGAAATTAGAATGTACATGTACGAACTATGTTTCCTCCTTTGCTTGAATAATTGTACATTCATAACACCACATCTAGGACTGCAACTCGGCCATCGAATCGGAAAAAACTCGTTCGACATTCGGATCGTTATTTAACAAGCTGACTCGTTAGTAAACCAGCCAGGCTTGAACTAGACCGTACTAAGCTTGATAAGCTCGTGAGTTAGCTTGACTTGATGGCTTGTTGAGCTAAGCATACTAGCTGGCTTATTTAGAGCTTGTGAAATGATTAATTACTCTTCTGGACATGAAAACTATCTTGTTAATACGGATGTCTATGGAAGTTAGCTGTTATTTTTAGTTTCTAGTGTTATTTTTATCAATTTAAATTCTTATTTTTACACTTCTTTCAGCAAAAATTATTTTAAATCGAGGTCATCTTTAGTCGAGCTAGTACTCAGCTTGACAAGTTAGGTTAATAAGCATTTACCAAACTCTATCAAGTTGAGCTCGAGCTAGATTCTTTTTTATTCAAGCCGAGCACGAGCATTAGATGGGTTAAAAAAATTTGAGCTCGAGCTAAAAAAATTATAAACAAGCTTAATTTAAACTAAGCAAAACTCTAATAGACGCTACTCATTTGAAGCTCTGACCACATCTCATTAAATCAATGCAAACACTCCAATGAAAAGATAGAAATATTGTTAAGAAAAGAAATAAAACAAAAAAAATTCTCACGACAAAAATATTGCACGCATTTCTATTTCTTATCGTAGTTGGGGAAAGTTAATCTGCTAACTTGAAGATTCGTTAGCAGATACTAACTGATATCCAAAATACATGAACTAGTATCCAAGTACTAAAGTATCTAGAGAGCACAGACTAGTATTCAATGTTTGCTAACTGATATCCACCATGAATCAACTATTATCCCAAATTCACAAACTAATATCTAGACAACACATAATAGTATCCATACAACACATAATTAGTATCCAGATAACACATAAGAGTATCCATATTGAATATTAGTTGGTTGATTGTGGATATTAGTTGGTATCTACTATCTGGATACTAGTTTATGATGTTTTGAATACTAGTCTGTGCTATCAAGATACTCAACAGACTTGGATATTAGTTCATACATTTTGGATACTAGTTAGTATCTACTAATGTATTGGAAAGCTTGGAAGCGTGTCCTTCAGCCCCTAATCTGAAACCCTCCGGCCTAGGGGTGGCTATACGGTCCGGTCCGGTTAAATTGGCCCAAATTGATCCGGTCCAGTCCGGTCTTTTTGAAAATATAAGGACCGAAGATTGGGTTGGATACAGTCCGGTCTTGATCCGGTCCGGTTTTGATCCGGTCCGGTCCCAATTCGGTCTTGATTTTACATTGAGATTGTGGGATTTGAGTGGCCTAAGGCCTTAAAGGGTGAGGAGTTGGTTAAGTTTTGTACTAAGTGCAAAGGTTTGTGACCGTTTATGCAAATTACACTTAAGTTTTGGGTGTTGAGCTCTCTTATCCGGTCTTTATCCGGGTTTTTACCTCAAATCTAAGCCCAAAGATTGAATTGGATTGTTTACTATCCGGTCCCGGTCCGGTCTCGGTCCAGGTTATACGGTCCGGTTTCCGATTTTTAATCCGGTCCCGGTCCAAATAGCCACCCCTACTCCGGCCACACTAAAGAAAGCAACTTGCTTTTGTCGTTATCAGGCGGAGGGAGGATGGACCATATAGTCTCAGATCGCATGTCTAATACCGATGATAAAGCAGCAGTCGTTCGTTATCAAAGCAAAACCCAAATGGTGGGTGGCTGCTGAATTCTATTAATTGCACATTTCATTAAACTAGTACGTAGACATCAGTGCATGTGTTTTTGGCCTTTGGAATTTATTACCTACGTGTTCTCTTCGCAAAACATTTTGTCCGCCGGACAATCCCATTGCTAGTGATATTGCTAGCCGACGACTCATGATCAATGTCAATGGGTACAAACTGAAATCTGCCTAGTGTTTTCGGCTCCCAGATTTTTTGTCCCTAGCTATAGTTACTTGATTAATGACCTGCCACAGCTGCCAGCCATCCACATTCTTCCCCTCACGACTCTACTTTCGGAGAAACTTCGCCGTCCCGGCTCACTTACAATAAACTGCAAGCCAATTAATGTATTTCAGTATTTGTAATCATCTAATTAATTTCGGTGATATGTTTCCAAATCATAAATCACTTTACTGTGTCACTCATTGAGTTTACTTAATTAAGTTTCTTTTGTGTTTTTCTCATTTTTGGCTACATTTTTGGATGAATGTTGGTTAATATTCTACATGCTTCGGAATTATTATTAGATGGTGGTTTTGGGAAGGAGTTAATTGAGCTTTAGGGTTATCTTGGTAATCTTGGTAATTGTGGGGTCAAGGATCTGGCCTACGTGACCCAAGTAGAGTAGGCTTTATAGTTTCGACGCAGGGTTATGGAAGACAAACACTAAGAGATGAAGAAACTTCTGCACCCAAAACAGTTTTTCTGATAGACCCAGTTCTTAACCGATAAAATTTTAAAAAATATTAAACACCTGTCCTTTCATTAATACACTCGATAAATTGTTCATAATTGCGGTACCAGAAATACCCGAAAATTGTATTTTACCATCAGAATCCTTGATTGTTTTTCCTTTAACTATTGTTATTGTTTTTTTCCTTTACCTTCATTTACTTTCTTTTTTTTTCCTAAACTTCTTCTTTGTCTTTTACTTTACCTATCTTTTCACAACCATTATTTTTGTCCTTTCCTTCCCACGTACCCATTTCCTTCTTCTTTCTTTCCTTGGCATGTTCCTCTCTCCCCATCTCATACAAAGACATATGATACAAACTTTTGTCTTTTTCTTTCCTTGTCTTTTCCACATCTCTTTTCCTTCATGTCATGTGAAGTGGCAGAAACCACTCATCTCCTTTCCTTCTCTCTCATTCTCTTTCTTTCATATTCCCCTTCCTTTCTCCTAATTTCCTTCACTAACCTACACATGCATGAAAAACCATTCCACTATCACGTCTACAAACTACAATAATAAAGGAAAGACAAGAACATCATTCTTTTTTCCACTCCTTTCTCATACATTCATGTTCATGCAATGGCATGCATACGTAGAGAACTAAAACCAATTCATTTACCCATTTTCCATATATTCATACTCCTTTATATACTTACACTTTCTCCTACTTACACATACACACTTGGACTTTCCCATATACAATAATGGATGAGGAATATTGGTGTATGATGGAGAATATTAACGAGTATAGGAGAATAATGGAGAATATTAGTGAATGTTAACGTAAGTCGAGGAATTCAACTACGACTTTTTCCTATAAATAGGGAGCACCCCTCCCCCTTTCTCAACACACCATGAGTCCCTCCACATAACAAGTCACACACACACCACATAAGTCGCTTACGACTACTTCACACAACACAACTCACACATACACACTCTCTCTACTTTCTCTCTCTAAAAACGTTTTCTCTCTCCTCCCGATCTCCCAAAAACGTGTTAAATCTCTTAACACTCAACACACTCTCAATTTGGCGGACTAAGCCATGGAATCGTGGATAGTCTCCACCGGGCGGCCTTAAATAGCCGACGACGCTCAATTATGACCGTGGGACCGAACCAGGTCTAACGTCACCGTATTTATTTTATTCCATTCAGGTTACTAATTTGAGCGTCGGAGGAGGTTCCAACCAGGACTCCCCCGGTGGGACCTTTTTTTCCAGGTATTCGCACGGAGCTGGAGGTGGTTAAAGGCTTTGGGAAATCAGCGCTCTCCGGACCTTAAACATATTGAAGCAGGCTGCTCTAAGCTTGGCATCAACAATTGGCGCCTACCGTGGGGCCCGGTGAGAAGAATATTACCAAAGTTTTAACAAACCACCACTAAGCCGTGATGAATACCCAAGGCTCTCCCAGTATTCCTACCATCGAAGCAGTGCGTCGCTTTTTAAGAGTAATCGAGACTGGGGGCAACCCAACCCCCCGTTCACCACTCAGCGATGCACCGAGTCAGAAAACAGAGCCTCGAGTGGTGCCACTTGCACAGAATACCTCCATTCCAGCATCAGAGGCAATTCCCATCCCTACTCCGACACAAGTACGTGAGATGCAGGTTGAGATTGAGCGACTCAGAGCTCAACTCAGGGCCAAAGAAGCCTCCCAGATTAATGCCCCTGGATCTTCCAGAGGACCCGTAACAAATAATCAGGAGAGAGTTGCAGCCCATGGCTCGGTTAACGAACCATCCAATGGGATGTCAGCACCTGTTGGATTAATCGCTCCGAGTCTCTCAGCCAATCTGCTTGAACCTTCCCCAGGACACGGAGTTGTCACTTCAACCGGAGTAGGAGGACCTCTATCCAGAATCGTGCAGGATGAGCCCTACCCATCAAATCTTCATTTACCAAGCTTGCCAGAGTATTATGGCACCACAGATCCAGAAGACCACCTTTGCTCTTTTCAAATCCTAATGCCATTAATCGGAGCATCTGATGCAACAATGTGAAAAATCTTCCCAGCAACACTCCGTGGAGATGCCCGACGATGGTACTCAAAGTTACAAGATGGTATTATATCCAGTTTCTTCGAATTTGCCACTCTTTTCAGATGAAAATTCTACGCACAAAAAAATAACCTATCAGCATCCATCAACTCCTCAGCATCAGGCAGCGTGATGATGAGACACTCAAGGCTTACTATACTCGATATAGTAACATCGCCATCGGACTAACGTCCATTTCCACTGAGATCTCCACCAATGCCCTGATGCGAGGGACTATCAATACTGATTTATATGCTTCTCTTGCAAAACGGGCTCCCCACAGCACTATGGAGCTTCAAGAGCGAGTTTCAAAATATATTGATCTAGAAGAAGCACTTCAGGAGGTTAGTCGAGCAGGATCCAAAAGAAAACAAGAGACTTCACCCCAAGATTCCCGCCGACAACGTCAAGCTCCTGCACTCGAGGGCCGAAACTCTTCCCAAAATTCCAAAAGGGAAGATACCCAGATACAACAAAGCTATACTCCTCTCAATCGCTCTAGACAAGCCATTCTTCAGATCATTCGAGAGAAGAAAATTCCCATTACTCAACCTCCTCCAGTTGTGAGGGTTTCAGGAAAGGGCCAACAATTCTACTGTGAATTTCATCGATGTACGGGACATGATACAGAAAGCTGTTACACCCTTAAGCACTCTATTGAAGGACTTATCCAACGAGGCTATCTTCGAGACTTTGTAAAGAATATTCGTTCCCCTATTCTCCCTTCACCTCCAATAATAGACAAAGGAAAAGCACCACAGGGAAGTGGATCGATGTTGGGAAATGTTCCTGTCATTCATGGTGGGGTCAAATTATCCGAACAAGTTGGTTCTCGCTCAACCGGTGCCCCAAGGTTGGTCGGTTCCGCCTCTACCACACAAATTCCCATATCTTTCGACGATAGGGATCTTGAAGATATCGAGTATCCTCATGATGATTCCTTAGTCATTAAGGCAGTAATCGCAAACTATTCTGTGCAACGAGTCCTCATCGATGGAGGAAGCTCTGCAGATCTTTTATTCTACCCAGCTTTCAAGTCCATGGGTCTTCAACTAAACAAATGTCACCCTCCTAGCATTTACCTCGTGGGCTTCTCCGGAAATCAAGTCCCAGTTCTGGGGATTCTCCCACTCCAAGTTCGTATTGGCAATGAACAACAAACCGTAGAGAACACAATCAACTTCCATGTTATTGACTGCCCTTCCGCGTACAACTGCATTCTCGGGCGCCCTTTTCTACATCAAGTTCGGGCTATACCCTCAACTCTGCACTTAAAATTGAAGTTCCCAACTATTGCCGGAGTCGGGTGTGTGAAGGGAGATCAAGCTCTTGCACGACAGTGTTGTGAGTTCTCCCTTAAAGATGGCTTTGTGGCCACAATGGAAGCCAAAGACGAGGTCGCTCGTCTCGTTCCCGTTGACCCTGATGAAGAACATACATTAGAAGAAGGGCGAACCGTTCGTGTATCCATGGCATGGCCTAAAAATTATCTCCCACAACTTCTCAGTTTGATGATCGAGTACAAAGAGCTCTTTGCTCAAGGACCTGGGGATATGCCTGGTCTTGATTCAAAAGTTGCCGAGCATACACTAGGGATTATCCCAGGTAGCAAGCCCATCCAGCAAAAAAGAAGGAACTTTGCATGGGAACGTCGCCAGGCCATAGCAGAGGAGGTAATCAAGCTAGGGCAAGCCGGCTTCATTAGCGAGGTTCTCTACCCAACATGGTTGGCTAATGTGGTCATGGTTAAAAAGGCCAACGACCAGTGGAGAATGTGTGTTGACTTCACCGATCTCAACAAGGCTTGCCCGAAGGACCCGTATCCTTTGCCCAAGATTGATCTGCTTATTGATGCGACCGCCGGTCATCGCCATCTCTCTTTTCTTGATATGTTCTCAGGGTACCACCAGATCCCACTAAAGAAGGACGACCAAAAATATACTGCCTTCATGACTCCGGTAGGAAATTATTGCTACAAGGTGATGCCGTTCGGCCTCAAAAATGCAGGAGCTACCTATCAACGTATGGTGGATCGAGTCTTTGCCCGAAAACTAGGTCGAAATGTTGAAGCTTATGTGGATGACATCCTAATCAAAAGTACAGAGACACATGCACATTTAGAAGATCTATGCGAGACTTTTGATACCCTACGAGGATACAACTTGCCCCTTAATCCAAAAAAGTGCGTCTTCAGGGCCACCGCAGGGAAGTTTCTTGGATTCATGGTGACAAGACGTGGAATCGAGGTTAACCCCAGGCAAATTGAAGCGATTCTCCAGATGACATCACCTACAAAGCATAAAGAAGTACAGGTTCTAACAGGAAGGATTGCGGCACTCAATCGTTTCATTTCACGAGCTGGGGATCGGTGTGCCCCTTTCTTCAACACCCTAAAAGGAGCTGGAAAAACATTTCAGTGGACCCCTGAATGTGAGAAAGCTTTCACAGAACTTAAGGAGTACTTGGTGAATCCCCCAATACTCTCATCTCCCGTCAACAACGAGACATTGTACATGTACTTTGCTGTCTCCTCCAAGGCTGTGAGTGCTGTACTCGTTCGCCGAGATACAGACAATACAGAGCATCCTATTTACTACACTTGTAAGACCCTGTTAGATGCTGAAACAAGATACTCTCCTGTGGAGAAAGCCGCCCTAGCTGTGGTGGTTGCCACTCGAAAGCTGCGTCCGTACTTCCAAAGCCACCCCATATGTATACTCTCTCAACTGCCTTTACGTCGTCTACTTCAGCGGATGGATGTTGCTGGTAGAATGGTGAACTGGGCCATCGAGCTTAGTGAATACGATATCACTTTCCTCCCTCGCACCGCCATCAAGTCCCAAGTTTTAGCTAACTTTGTTGCAGAAGGTGTTCGAGCATGTATCCCGCCAGAAACAGAGACTTGGAGATTGTACGTTGATGGTGCATCTAGTAAAACTGGATCAGGAGCAGGAGTTTTGCTCATCAGCCCTCTCGGAGTCACTCATGAATTGGCAATTCGCTTTGCCAGCACCATGACGAACAATGCCACCGAGTATGAAGCCCTCCTAGCGGGACTGATTATGGCTCAAGAATTGGGCATTCAACGAATTAGGGTCCACTCCGACTCTTCCCTAGTTGTCAATCAAGTGCAGGGGACATACGAGGTACGAGAGCCCGCGCTCGTACCATACACCAATGCCGCTCGTATGGCACTCTCTGAGTTTCCTCAAGCGGAGATAGTCCACATATCTCGTGAGGATAATCTTCATGCAGACCCATTATCAAAACTTACAACAGCACAAGACTTCCTCAGCGAGAGACATGTGATCATTGAAAGGCGTCCAACAATGTTATGCGCCCAAGTTACCTCATTTCCAGCACAATCCGATTGGCGAACACCTCTCATCGAGTATCTAAAACATGGGCTCCTGCCCACTGACCAGAAGGAAGCCATCCGCCTTAAGAGACGTGCTCCTCGTTACCTCCTGATCGAGGGAGATTTATACAAGAAAGGCTTCACTGGACCCTACCTGCGGTGCCTTAGCATTGGCGAAGCACACTTTGACGTACAGGAGGTACATGAAGGATCATGTGGGATGCATGCTGTCCTCGTAGCTTGGAAAAAACCCTTCTACGACAAGGTTACTACTGGCCCACGATGCGGCGGGACACTCAAAAGTATGCTCAAGCATGCCCCAAATGTCAGGTGGCCGCGCAAACCACTCATGCACCTCCATCAAAAATGCAGGTTAACATCGGGCCATGGCCATTTGCTCAATGGGGGATGGACTTTTTGGGACCCTTTCCCACGGCTCCTGGACGAAAGAAATGGCTGATCGTAGCCATTGATTATTTTACCAAGTGGATTGAGGCTGAGGCGATCGCTAGCCTATCCACTCAGAGAGTTGAAAAGTTTTTATGGCTAAACATCTTATGCAGGTTCAGTCTCCCTCACACTCTAATCATGGATCAGGGGACACAATTCACGAGCGAAGATTTACAGGCCTACTGCGCCCAATATGGAATCTTACTTCGATATGCCTCGGTGGCCTATCCTCAAGCTAACGGTCAGGCTGAGGCTGCTAACAAAAGCATACTATGGGGCCTAAAAACCAGATTAGGCCAGGCCAAGGGTCGATGGGTCGAGGAGCTGCCCCATGTGCTTTGGGCCCACCGGACAACTTACAAGACTTCCACTGGGGAGACACCATATGCCTTGACTTATGGCACCGATGTTGTGCTGCCAATTGAAATGGAGCTCTCCTCTTACAGAATCCAAGCATTCCACCCTGATGAAAATCAAATCGAGCTCACTCATGATCTACATCTCATCGAGGAGCGTCGAGAGGAAGCACTTTTGCGACTCGCCGCTTCCAAAGAGAGGATCGCGCGTTACTACAACGCCAAGGTGAGAAATCGACCCATCAGGGAAGGGGAGTGGGTTCTGAGGAGAAACTTCAAACACATTCCAAGTCAAGGAAAGTTCACCCCCCAGTGGGAGGGTCCTTACAAAGTGCGTAAAGTGGTGGGACCAAATACTGTAAAACTATCACTCCCTGATGGTCAAGACATGTCAAGGACTTGGAACACAATGCATTTAAGGAGATACTTTACTCCATAAATATGGTATACCCTTGCTATCTTTTAAATAAACACCCCAGTGGATTTGTTCCCTAAATAAATACCATGGTAGGGTGAAAGATAGCTAGCAATAAAAGCAGCGTGTTTATTATTACAAAAGTTTGGAAGCCCATTGTACATTACCTACTACAGGTGTTTATATGCTAAGCTATACACATTACCGAGTATCTTACATAATATTTTACAATGTTATTTCAAGTTGGAATTTCATAAACTTTAGTTCTCAAAGAACTCTGGGCCGAGTAACTCAGTTGCAGCCAACAACATTGCCGTCGAGATATTAAAGTCTGAATGCACTGGGGTGCCAACCATTGGACTTGCTTCAGAAACAGCATCTAAAAGTGGCGAGATGCGATGGAACTCAATCTCCACATTCGAAATTTGGCTTGCTGCTTCCCCAGACTGAGGAGCACCATCGCATTCCTCCACGACATTCATATTTTGGGATGTCACCTCCTCAGGTTCCAAAGTAGTCGCACATTCTTCCACCACTTGACGAAGGCGGGTGTCATCAATATCTCTTGCAGGATACATACAATAAATTGCCCTTCTAGCCAAGCGATGGACATTATCCATCACTCACGAAACCGCCATCTGTAACTGATGACGTAGAGTATTATTCTCTGATCGGAGGGTGGTGTTTTCTGAGTGTAAACCAGTATTCTCCGACCATAAAGACCTCCTAATTAGCCTCTCCTCACGCATACTGGCGTGAAGCTGCTCAACTTGTTTGCGAAGGCCGGCCTCAGCTGCTTCTGAGGTACGCAGCTCCTGTGTGGCTACCTCAACATGTTGTTGAGCCTCCACCATGTCTGCATTCCATTCACATGATTTGGAAGAAAATTGCTCCTCTCTTGTCTTCATCTGGATTCTCATTTCTTCCAAAGAACGAGTTGCCTCCTCTCGGGCCTCAGTAACCCGAAGCTCTGCCATAGCTAGGCGACACTCCATGGCAACAGCGTACCTCGCCAACTATTCGCAAAATAACAACGTCAATGTATCATATACAAATTGAAGACCGAAAAACAAAGGAAGAACGTAAAAGCACCTTTGAAACAGAAGAAGCAAAAGTTGATCCTGTGGCTGCATCTTCTAAAATGGGATAGTGTTTCCCCGCATCGCACAAACTGTCGTACGTTATGACACCACCAGCCAAAATTCCACCTTTGCTGGCTCTTGAAGACTCCCCTGATGCTTCAGGGTTCCCCTACCGCCCACTGGGGTTTTTCCTTTAGCATCTCTGGCTCTCCCCTCAGAGCGACCCTTCCCAGTAGGGGAATCTCCTGATCCTCTCACCCAGGAACGAGTTCTCTTCGACTGGTCATGACGAACTCTCGACCATCCACGCGGGGGATTATCTGGTCTCTCACGAATTGGCACCCCGACATACGAGTGAGGCACTGCTGGCACTTCTCTATTCCTCATACACCTCTGAAAGTGCGAGTAATCTGCAAGGAAGGATTACAGTTAGAAAATACGGTCATAAAAAGGGAAGCACTGTAAAAAATGACGTACCTTTACCATAAACAGCAAGAAACAAGCTTGCTCGAGCCCCAGGAGTACTTATATCAATGGGTCTCTCCCGGAGAAGCCGATCATGCTGTAAAGCTATCTCTCCCTCAATCACGGGATCCTGAAATCCACCTGTAACACCTTCACTCCAGTCAGCTGGGACTGTGATACCTCCGGAGGTAAACTCACTAGGCGGGGCAAGAAAATAAAAAAATTCCGTCTCCCACGACCCCTTCAGATGGCTCAGCAAAGTGCAAAGGTTATTGGCTGACTTCCGTTTGTGCAACTCCCAAGCCACTCGATCATGACGAAAGAAAAAACAAGCATAAAACAACTCGGGGGATGGTGGAACCCCAACTCGACGACATGACAGAATAAAACAAGAGATGAAAGTCCAAAAACGAGGACTAACAGAATCGATTGAAAGCTTACTACGGTGCATTACAACACACAACCATGTAGGCAGGGGCAATCGAAACCCATACTCCAGAGAAGAACGAAAAAGAGATCGCCATGATGATGGGTGACTTACAGCCGAAACAAGTCTGTTGGGTATGGCATAACTCCAGTGATGAGGCATACCATACGAAACCAACAGTTCTCGTAACCACTTTTCACTTTGCGTAAAACCACGTCCCAGGCCACCTACTGGGTACTCCGGAGGCACTCGACCCAGAGGATACATCACCTCCCAAGGGCAGACATTAAAACCCAGTGGGTTAGGTGCTATATCTCGAGACCCACTGGCATCCGATCCTCTTGCCACCACAACAGTGGAAGGCGGTATAATCATTAAACGTTGATTATCTCGTAATGATGAAGGTAAACTCGCCATTTTTACTAAAGGTAAAATAAGAATTTACTTTAGGGATAGTGAAACAAGAGTTTACTGTGGGTAGTGAACTGCTTTTGCTTTGTGAGAAATGAAAAGATGGGAGGAGAAGTACGAGAGCAGGAGGCTGTGAAATGGAGAATGGATTATGTTCCCTCCGCTCTGGTATTTATATGAGCAGCGTTTGAGACTGGGTCTAATACCGACTTACCGTCAGAATTATTATTAGATGGTGGTTTTGGGAAGGAGTTAATTGAGCTTTAGGGTTATCTTGGTAATCTTGGTAATTGTGGGGTCAAGGATCTGGCCTACGTGACCCAAGTAGAGTAGGCTTTATAGTTTCGACGCAGGGTTATGGAAGACAAACACTAAGAGATGAAGAAACTTCTGCACCCAAAACAGTTTTTCTGATAGACCCAGTTCTTAACCGATAAAATTTTAAAAATATTAAACACTTGTCCTTTCATTAATACACTCGATAAATTGTTCATAATTGCGGTACCAGAAATACCCGAAAATTGTATTTTACCATCAGAATCCTTGATTGTTTTTCCTTTAACTATTGTTATTGTTTTTTTCCTTTACCTTCATTTACTTTCTTTTTTTTTCCTAAACTTCTTCTTTGTCTTTTACTTTACCTATCTTTTCACAACCATTATTTTTGTCCTTTCCTTCCCACGTACCCATTTCCTTCTTCTTTCTTTCCTTGGCATGTTCCTCTCTCCCCATCTCATACAAAGACATATGATACAAACTTTTGTCTTTTTCTTTCCTTGTCTTTTCCACATCTCTTTTCCTTCATGTCATGTGAAGTGGCAGAAACCACTCATCTCCTTTCCTTCTCTCTCATTCTCTTTCTTTCATATTCCCCTTCCTTTCTCCTAATTTCCTTCACTAACCTACACATGCATGAAAAACCATTCCACTATCACGTCTACAAACTACAATAATAAAGGAAAGACAAGAACATCATTCTTTTTTCCACTCCTTTCTCATACATTCATGTTCATGCAATGGCATGCATACGTAGAGAACTAAAAGCAATTCATTTACCCATTTTCCATATATTCATACTCCTTTATATACTTACACTTTCTCCTACTTACACATACACACTTGGACTTTCCCATATACAATAATGGATGAGGAATATTGGTGTATGATGGAGAATATTAACGAGTATAGGAGAATAATGGAGAATATTAGTGAATGTTAACGTAAGTCGAGGAATTCAACTACGACTTTTTCCTATAAATAGGGAGCACCCCTCCCCCTTTCTCAACACACCATGAGTCCCTCCACATAACAAGTCACACACACACCACATAAGTCGCTTACGACTACTTCACACAACACAACTCACACATACACACTCTCTCTACTTTCTCTCTCTAAAAACGTTTTCTCTCTCCTCCCGATCTCCCAAAAACGTGTTAAATCTCTTAACACTCAACACACTCTCAATTTGGCGGACTAAGCCATGGAATCGTGGATAGTCTCCACCGGGCGGCCTTAAATAGCCGACGACGCTCAATTATGACCGTGGGACCGAACCAGGTCTAACGTCACCGTATTTATTTTATTCCATTCAGGTTACTAATTTGAGCGTCGGAGGAGGTTCCAACCAGGACTCCCCCGGTGGGACCTTTTTTTCCAGGTATTCGCACGGAGCTGGAGGTGGTTAAAGGCTTTGGGAAATCAGCGCTCTCCGGACCTTAAACATATTGAAGCAGGCTGCTCTAAGCTTGGCATCAACAATTTCAGTTTGTGAGTTTTGAGTGACCGGTTCAAAAATTATTATCTATCACCTTTAAAATGAAAAAGAATCAACCCGATGTATAACATGAAATATCTGATCATGTGAAATATGATATATATTATACGATTTAGGTGAATCGATATACTGAGATTATGTCAAATGCATTATGTCACACCTATCAGAAAGAAAAAAACAAGACACTTCATTTACAGGTACAGTACTGTTTGGAAATTGAAAGTGTAGAAAGTTATTACTGATGGAGTGTGATATATAATAAGTGCTTCATGTAAAAACTTGTCTGTTTGTACACCTGTCTGTTTGACACTTACATCTCTGAGTATAGACTGGAGTTAGGAATAGTTGTAGAAAGGAACAAAACGGGAAACACCCAATAAATAAAAGCAATTTGACAATTGACAGGAGAAAGGAACGCATAGAGCATTGAATACACGGAGAGAGATGCCAAAATGCAGAATTTAAACTTTAAAGGGGTGGGTCGAGTAGTTAAAACCATTCCCTATTTTTGGTCGGATTTGAGCTCTGGTCCCTAAGCGCCTCTATTTCAATCCATCCATCGATGATGCCATTACTACTACTACTAGTAGAGAGGACTGGAGAATTAGAGTAACTACAAAGGGATATGGTTATCTTATTTGGTAGGGGACCTCCATTGCACACAAAAAAACCAACTTGTACCTATTGTTACTTTTTGGCTGCTCCAATGTTAATCAATTGGCCTGTTCATTTCTAGGCAAAATGTGGCTCCCGACATTACACGTCACACACATTGGATCTCTAAAAAGCGACATCCTATAATTAAAATCGAGATGACGAGACAATCAATCGATACATTTTTGTTCAATAGATTTCTTGGAAAATAATAAATTTGATAGTGCAGAAGAGAACAGAACAACGATTTTACGTGGTTTTGCCTGTTCGGTGTGAACAGGACTATTCCACGGTGAGCTCGAAGGAGCTCACGACTGATTCTTTATTAGGTTTTCTTAATTATGGCCGATGGCCTTACACTGATACTTATACCCATCCTCAACTGTTGCTAGGGTATAATTACAAGGGCAATCAAACAATGTGCAAACATGAGATACGGCAGGCTTTGAGTGTGAAGCATCACTGGGCTTCGTCTGTTGTTGGTGGTGCTAGGCCTGCTGGCCCATATCCAATACTCCCCCGCAAGCTGTGGCGTGAAGATCACGAACACGCAGCTTGGACAACAGAAAGTGGAAACGTTCAGCACCTAGGCCCTTGGTGAACATGTCTGTGAGCTGGTGATGCGAGCTAATCTTCATGGGGGCAATGTCACCAGATTGGACGCGTTCCCAAACAAAATAGCAGTCCATCTCAACATGCTTTGTACGCTCATGAAAGACTGGATTAGCTGCAATGTGAAGTGCTGCCTGATTGTCACAGTAAAGAGGAATCAGACCTTTCTGCATTACTCCAATCTCTTGCAGCAACCAACGTAACCAAAGTACTTCACCGATAGTGTTGGCCATTGCTCGATATTCCGCCTCTGCAGACGAGCGAGCAACAACACTTGGTTTCTTGGTTCGCCAAGAAATAGGTACACCACCAAGAGTAATTACATAGCCCGTGGTAGAACGCCTGGTGGACTGACAGCCTGCTCAATCAGCATCACAGTAGGCTATAAGATCAAGCGAGCTCTGCGCTGGGAAGAAAAGACCTTGTCCGGGGGCTCCCTTGAGGTACCGAAGAATGCGCTGAGCGGCCTCCATATGAGCACGTGTCGGGGAATGAACAAACTGACTGAGAATGTTGACTCCATACGTGATGTCGGGACGAGTCATCGTCAAATAAAGTAGCCGACCGACTAGGCAGCGATACGCGGCCGGGTCGGGATGATTAGCCGGAGCCGGACTAGTAAGATGATGATTTTGTTCAACTGGGAAGGCACTGGGGCGACTGCCAGTGGTGCCGGAGTCACTAAGGATATCAAGGACGTACTTCCGCTGGCTAAGAACCATTCCTTCCGGGGCACGTGCAACTTCAATACCCAGGAAGTAGCGTAAAACACCAAGGTCCTTGATGGTAAACCGATCATTGAGGAATCTTTTGACCTGTGAGATAAAATCCAGGCAGTTACCAGTGAGAACAACATCATCAACATAGATGAGAGCAATAACCTAAATACTCCCCCGTCGAAAAATGAACAACGAGTGGTCGGCTGGTGAAGCCCGAAAACCCAATTCACAGAATGCAGCTGTGAATTTTTGGTACCAGCTCCGGGATGCCTGACGTAGCCCATAAAGGGACTTGTGTAACTTACATACACGCGTCTCGCCAGGCTCGGCAAAGCCCTATGGAATGCGCATGTAAACATCTTCATCCAAATCACCGTGAAGAAAGGCATTATTGACATACAGTTGATGAATGTGCCAGCCTTTGCTAACTGCCACAGCGAGGAGACACCAAACAGTCACAAGTTTGGCTACCGGGGCAAAGGTGTCATGAAAGTCCACACCCTCAATCTACGTGTAACCCTTCGCTACTAACCGAGCTTTGTACCGCTCGATTGTTCCATCAGGATTGAACTTCACTTTATAGACCCATTTGCAGTCTATGACCCTTTTTCCCGGAGGTAAGATGACGAGACTCCAAGTCCCATTTTTCTCAAGGGCCACAATCTCCGCAATCATGGCACGCCGCCAACATTCTTCTCGCACGGCTTCAAAGAAGCTCCTAGGCTCCGGATTGTGTGCTACGGCTGCAAGAAAGGCACATTAATTAGCCGTAAAACGATCATAGATGAGATTCTCGGATAAAGGAAATTGTGCAGAGTGGGCTTTACTCTGTGTATAGTAATCATCAAGACGCTTGGGTGGACCGCGCACACGGTCACTCCGCCGCGGAGGTTGGGCAGTAGAAGGAACAGGCTCGGGTTCCAGCTGGGTGCAAGGAAGCATCTCGGCCCGTGGTTGGACTGGGGACGGGCTCGATGGGCTTGCGGGCCCAGTAGTTGAATTAGAAGTGGAATTTGTTGGCTGCGCCAACTCGGGAGAAGAAGCCGAAGAATCATGGTTGGACGCGGATTTGGATTTGGACGTGACATGATGACGGGAAGCACCATGATTTGGTTGGCTTGCTGGCCCATGATCTGTGGGGGACGACGCGGGCACAGCAGGAGCTGGAGGTGTTGGGCTGCTTGCATCCAACACTAGTTCAT